CAGCTCTACCAACTGAGCCACCATGCCGCCGCCCCGTTAACAATAGGCGTTAATTAGGTGTCAACGATAGCCATGTGATGTGAGTATCAGTCACATGGAGGCAGGGCTTAAAAGCCTGAATTTTGCCTGAAACTCTCAGACTGAAGAAGTCTCTTGGAGGAGAGACGAAACGTTTCATTAGAGAAGAACCCGTCCAGAAGACCTACACAATTTTTTCTTTTAGATTTTTTACCTGGATTACTGAGATGCATCAGGACGTTTCTAACTGCAGTTACCCATAAATGTTTTGTTTTATGTGAAATTTAAAAACATTTTTCTTCCAGATAATCCAGCTTCCAAACGTTAAATCAGTGTGAAAAGAAGAAATATAAAATCTTAAATCAAAGTGATTGTTTTGATGTTTTGTCTTTTCTGCAGATGCTGTTTATTCAAACCAACTGAGCCCCCGCCCCTCCCACAGAAGAAGCTCCAATGAACACCGCGCCCGGCTCTGAGAACTCCTTCTGAAGCGGTGGGCGGGGCCTGTCCTGTCCAGGAGGCGTGGCCAGAGATGGACAGCAGGTGCAGCAGCATCGATTCGCGGTTCACGGGCAGCAGGGGGATCACCTCCATCAACCCGTCGACGCCCGTCTCTGTCAGGGTGGAGTCGTACGAAGGCGTGGAGAAGAAGTGCATCTCGGACGTGAGGAGGACGTTCTGCCTCTTCGTCACCTTTGACCTCTTGTTCATCACCTTGCTCTGGATCATAGAGCTCAATGTAAGACGAGACKAATAGATGTTTAAATGCTTTTTAAATGTTTATGGTTTGGAGACAGAGCTGTAGATTTTAATGGAATAATTGTTATAAATCCAGGTTTTGGCCTCAACCATGAGCTGTGGATCTTCAGTCTGTAAACCAAAAAAGGACAATGATGGGTTCACATGACGTTTAAATTTAGCAGCAGCTGCTCCTCCTTTCCTGTTTAGTTTCATGAAGTGAAAGCTTTCGTTTCTGYGCTGAAAATCCTCAAGAAATCTTTTCCTTTCGTTTTAAAAGAGCTTTGTTTGTGTTGGACAGGCGAGCGGAGGCGTTCGGGTGCAGCTGGAGAAGGAGGTCCTGCACTATGACTACCACGCCTCCTTCTTCGACATCTTTGTAAGACGTTTTAACCCTTTGCTTACAGAAATGTTCAGTGCAAAATAAAASCTGCATTTAAAGAAAACCCTGTCCATGTATATCTCAGGTGCTGGCGGTCTTCAGGTTCGCAGCTCTCATCCTGGCCTACGCCATCTGTAAGCTGCGTCACTGGTGGGCCGTCGCAGTGAGTTCTCTCCTACGTCTGTCAGCCTGACAGGACGCGTTGTCTCGATTCACACCAGCTGAAGGAAAAACAAACATATTTGACTTCAGGCGCATCCTGTTGGTGTTTCTCCTCAGATTCATGAACTTTCCAAAACCTGTATGAGTGTTTGTCTAACGTACAGGGTGAGTCAAAAGTCACAGGACACCTTTTGTATCAGAGAAAAGGGAAAACGATGTGAATACCTCAGTCTGTCTTTCAGGATATGTCCAGAACATGGCTGCCATCTTGAAAGCAGCCATATTGGATGAAAATAAAAGGGTGTCCTGTTTGTTTTGACTCACCCTGTAACTCTGCTGCTGAACGTAAAGTTTAAATTCTTTCGTTTGTTCATAATGAAACTTTTCTTTTACTCAAACCTAAATCTAACCCATCCTGATCAGTGCTGCTGTATTTATTAATACGTCTGTTAACATAAATATTACCTTAAGTTACATGACCCCAAAGGATTTCATTTTTGGACAGATTTAAATTTGACTGGTTAACCAGTAAAATATAAGTTAGAAAATAAAATAAAAAGGGAGCAAAGTTTATAATAAGATGTGTTTTTCGTGTGTTTTTAACAGATCACCACTACAGTCACCTGTGCTTTCCTCATCGTTAAAGTCATTTTATCAAAGGTGAGAACAGTTTGTTAATAAAACGATCCTCTGTGAGAACTGTGAGTTGTGCTCATTACGGCTCAGACCAAAGATATTTGATGCCAAAATACAAATAATTTCTGTATAAAGAAATCATTCTGAACAAAGCTGACTTCACTGATTATGACTGTATTTCATATAAATCTGTTCTTTTTTTACAGTCAAATACTTTGTAGGATAAACAATTCTAATTTGTTTTTCACACATCTGACATAAAATTTTTAAATTTCTAACAATTTTCTGGTTCAGTATTTAACTTTTTGATTTACAACGCTATTTTCTCATGACTCACTTCTACTAAATGCAGTAGGTTTAAATTGAGTGTTTTTTTAGGTTTTAATTCAGTTATTTGTGTTTTTTTAGGTTTTAATTCAGTTATTTGTGGTTTTTTTTAAGGTTTTAATTCAGTTATTTGTGTTTTTTTAAGGTTTTAATTCAGT